TCTAGAAAAAGAGGTGCCGGAACTCCACATGAATGCCTGCCTTGTTCTCTTATATTGGCAATGGCAATAGAAGATGTGCCGGAACTGAGTTCTAGCGAGTTCTGGCTGAAAAAAAAGAGCCCTTGTTCTCACACTGGCCAACCAGATGCCCAGAAGCAGGACCAGACCACAACAACACTCTCCCCACTTGTGATTTGCAGCAACTGGTATAAGTATCCATTTAAAGCCTGATCCTCCTTAAATTTGTCTAATCCTCTTTTAGACCACTGAAATTGGAGGCCATTGCTGCTTCTTGGGGGAGCGAATTCCAAAGTTTAGCTATGAAGAAGGACTTCTTTTTTTCTGTCCTGAATTTTCCAACATTCAGCATCATTGGATGGTTCTGGGTTGTAGTGTTTTGAGAGAGGGAGAATGTAACTTCTACCTATCAACTTTCTCCACACCCTTTAAAACATCACACACCTTTGTCTGACTCACTTTTCAACTAAAGTCCCAAATGTCATTACCCTTCCACACAGGACTGTTGCTCCAAACCCTTGATCATTTTGCTTGACATTTTGTTTTAAAATATCCTTACTTTTACCATGCCCCCTGGGACTAATTATGACATGGGCGGTAGATAAGCGTTTGCTGAGTTGTTTATTATATGGTTTATGCTGGCTTTGAATATTGGCTGCAGGATTTTATGTTAAATGTTTTAAGCAGGGTTAATGTAATATTTTACTGTGACTGGGTAGTTATTTGGGGTGCACATTAACCACAAGATCAGTTTGCACCCCAGTTTGGTTTAGTTTGTCCACCTTTGGTCTCCACTCCCACTTGGGGCTCCTAGAAGCTGTCAGCATGTGACAGTGGTCACACTCTGAGTATGGCTTCAACTGTCTGGCTGAGCCAGGTGAGGGTAGCCAATGGGTCTCAAACCATCAGTGAGTTACGGACTTCCCCTGCATGCAAAGACAAGTTCCAGCAGATTGAGCAGAGAAGACCAATGGTAGGTCCAATGCTCAAGAAGGTGGTTTCTGCATGTGCTGTAGAGGGAAGTGAGGGGTAGATGTGGCTTGTCAGCCCATCTAAATGAAGGAAAACTCAGATCCTAAACCTCCACTGCCTTGTGGGATATCTTCAAGAGAAGAAGGGCTAAGGAGTAAACCCTGAGGAGTAAACCCTTAAAGCTCCAGGGTGGAGTCCCTAAGATTGGTGGATGGCACCCCTGCAGGCAAGCTGGTACCAAATGTCTTCCTCTGCTTTCATTTGGACCACATCAACAAGTCCAAAGGGGGGGATGGGCTTGATGTCTGGGCAGCCCAGGACCTCCATAAATACTGCTCAAGCTTATGCCCCCAAGAGGTGGATTCCATTGTCTCCTGAGACAGATGGATGCCAACAACAGAAACAACACAAAGTAGCCTGATTCAGCTCATGAGTCTGCTTAATTTCTCCACTCACTAGGGGCATTTTATTTTATTTTTTAATGATCTACAACTCTACCCATTTGACAGAAGTGGATGGAATTTTCAGGCCTGCTAGATCCTTCAGAGTGGATTGAGCCTGCCAAAATCATGGCAAATAGCTCCAGGGACTTTTAAACACAATTAATAACCTAATAGCACAATCCTATGGAAGTCAGATGAGCCTAAGTGCCACAAAAATCAATGCCCACCACCCAACTATATTTAGCTTACATTTGATCTAAGCCAAAAGGTCTAGAAATGCTCATCTCAGCCTCTCCCCTGCCCCCGCCCACCCCCTGCTGTGGAGGAGATAAACCCAGAGGGACTTTAGTTTCATTATATAAATATACTGTTAATTAACTAAATTTAGGCATGGCTAAAAACCATTCAACACACATGGAACATGTTAGTTGAGACTCTAATCCTTTGCAGAGGCATCACATTCCGTATCTCAGCCGGCAAGGTCCCACTGGGAGCTGCCAAGGTCCTGATCTGCTTTACAGTGGTACCTCGGGTTAGACACTTCGGGTTACAAACGCTTCAGGTTACAGACTCTGCTAACCCAGAAATAGTACCTCGAGTTAAGAACTTTGCTTCAGGATGAGAACAGAAATCGCACAGCGGCAGCACAGTGGCAGCGGGAGGCCCCATTAGCTAAAGTGGTACCTCAGGTTAAGAACAGTTTCAGGTTAAGAACAGACCTCCAGAACGAATTAAGTTCTTAATCCGAGGTACCACTGTACTTTGCTGAGATTGAATCTTACCTGACTGGAAGAGACTCCAGTAATTGCTAACATTTCCCTTGCCTCAACAGAGCAGGGTAGATCAAGCATAGGAAATGTCTGCTGCTCTCCAGATGTATATTATAGAATCATAGAATCATAGAATCATAGAGTTGGAAGAGACCACAAGGGCCATCGAGTCCAACCCCCTGCCAAGCATTATCTATTTGAAAAAAAGATTGGTTAATGAAGAAATTACATATCTTTCTACTCACGAGTGTTGAACTAATTGGCTGATGAAGAATTCAATGAAACAGTAGTTGTTATCTGAAAACACTGTTCAGCAGAGTTCAGAGTAGGACATCAGAATCGGACATTTGCTGATTATACAAAGCTTCACAGCTTGCTCTCTGCTGGGTAAAGTCTGGCACCTTGATTCATTTAAGGACTTTCAGAGACTTTCAGTTTGTTAGTTTTGATGTTTTGAATTAGTCCATAAAGTTTTTCACGTTGTAATTGTTTCTGGCCATTGCGTTGCTTTTGATATTGCTGCTCTCCAGATGTAGCTGGATTTCAGGTTTTGTCAGCCTCAGCCAGAATGGTCAATGGTCACAGAGGACGAGGTTGTTCAGCAACATCTGGAGGAAAACCACAGGTTTCCCAAACCTGGGATGGATTGTTACCTTCCCTGTCCCATATTTCAGGCTATACCACTCATGCATATGTTGGATAAGTGGTTGTTGAGGACGTGGAAGTCAGAAGGTTTGTGAGAGCAATGGGGGCCATCTTAACCATAGTTATGAAGTCCCATGTACTTTCCTTCATGAACTGGATTGGAGGTATATTCGGGACAAAGGGAAGTCCTTCTTTACACAGTACTATGCTAATTGATGGAAGTTGCTGCCACAGGGTGTAGTTGCTAGCTCAGATGCCTTTAGGCACATCCATGGATGTTCGTCATGGTGGCAAGTCATGGAGTTTGCATGTCCAGATATGCAGCAAACCACCAGGTTCCAATTTCTGGGAAGGTAAAGCAGGAAAGGACTATTGCCTTCATAGGGCTTCTTGAAAGGATTGGTCTGGCCACTAGGGGAAGCAGAATGTTGAATTAGAATATTGATTGGCTACTCACTAGACCTGGGGTGGAGAACCTTATGGTCCCATTTCAAGCTATATCACTCTGCTTTAAATAGCCATGGTTTTCCCAAAGAGTTCTGGGAACTGTAGTTTGCTAAGGGTGCTGAGGGTTTGTTAGCAAACCCCCCATTCTCCTCTCACTGAGTTACAATTCCCAGAGTGGTTAAACAATCAATCCTGAAATAATAGAGGGGAGCAGGGGCAGAGTTCTCCAGCAACTCTCAGCATCCTTAATTAACTACACTTCTCAATATTCTTTGGGGGGAAGCCATGGCTTCTTAAAGTGGCATGATACTGCTTGAAATGCATAGTGCAGATGGATATAGGACACAATAGAGATCTTAACCCCTGGGAGAAACTCTGGAAAAGTGACCTGAAATCTATAGCATGCTATTCATTGAAAGAGAACGATTTGAAAATGATTCATAGATGGTTCCAAACTCTGAGTAGGTTAAAGGTAAAGGTAAAGGTACCCCTGCCCGTACGGGCCAGTCTTTACAGACTCTGGGGTTGTGTGCCCATCTCACTCAAGAGGCCAGGGGCCAGCGCTGTCCAGAGACACTTCCGGGTCACGTGGCCAGCGTGACATCGCTGCTCTGGCGAGCCAGAGCCGCACACGGAAACGCCGTTTACCTTCCCGCTAGAAAGCGGTCCCTATTTATCTACTTGCACCCGGGGGTGCTTTCGAACTGCTAGGTTGGCGGCGCTGGGACTGAGCAACGGGAGCGCACCCCGCCATGGGGATTCGAACCGCCGACCTTTCGATCGGGAAGCCCTAGGCGCTGAGGCTTTTACCCACAGCGCCACCCGCGTCCCCCTGAGTAGGTTAGCTAAGATTTATAAGGCAGAATCAGATAAGTGCTGGAAGTGTAAAGAAGTAGAGGGAACGTTCTTCCACATGTGGTGGAAGGGTATTGCGAAAGGGTTTATAATGAATTTTTTATTTTATTTTTTACTTTCCCAAAACAACTGGAGTCTTTTTTGTTGGAAATAATCCAGACTGAAATCCCCAGGTGTCAGAAAAGGCTATTTATGTATGCAACAACTGGGGTTCATGTTTTGTTAGCCCCAAAATGGAAAGTGAGCCAGATCCCAACTAAAGAGGTTTGGCAACTTAAGTTGACAGAATATGCACAACTTGCAAATTTAACATATAGAATAAGAGAGCAAGAAAAACATACGTTTAAAGAAGATTGGAAAACGTTTATTGAATATATGGGAAATAACTGTATACAGCTGAAAATGCTGGCAGCACTAAGATAAATTCAACAGAGTAAATAATTTTTGATGGATGTAAAAGTGGAAAATTGATTTGAATGGTTGTAGTAAAATATGCAGGGATGTGTGGTTTGTAAAATGAACCATGGAAAGAGAAGGAGGAAAGTCATTGAATATTTCAAAGTTTGTAAAATGTTTATTTGAAATTGTAAAACAGAAAAATTTAATAAAAATTATTACAAAAAATAGAAATGTATAGTGCAGATGGGGCCTACCTGGCCCTCAAGGAGGCCATAGCTCTCACTGGCCCCACTCTGCACCTTTCTCAGATGCTTTTGCCTGGCTGCAGCAAGTCCTTGAACAATGACAATGCTTCTTGCTCATCTGTATGGAAGTTGGATAGATGTATGTGCAGGAGTCTGCAGAGAAGTCTGCCTTCTGCATGCCTGGAATATAGTCTACTTTGCACAGTCTGCTATTGTTTTTGGTTGTACCCACTACCGGCCTATGGAACATAGGGTTGCCATATTTCAAAAAGTTAACATCCTGGCAAAGTTGTTGACCTTTTTTTGTTTCGCAAAATTGTTGAGCTTTGGCGACCCCCTAATGGAAGGGTCTGCGGCCTTTGGGTGAAAAAGAGTTCTGCTTCTTCCCTCAATGGACCTTTAGTCTGATCCAGCAGGGCTCCTCCATTGCTCTAAGCCTCCAAAGTAATTCTATGAGTCAGGTTCCTCCGCTGCACAAAAGTTTGACAACTGATTATCTTGACAATGACGGTGCTGATCATTATGTCTAAATTCTTTCTTTGGCCTCGGAAGGTGCAGAATTATCTCGGAGTCAATCAAGCTCTGCGTATAAATACATCTGTAAGAAATGAAGTGTCAGGAAAAGATTATTTCTAGCTCTTTTTTCAGAACTTGGAGGAAAAGAACATAAATTCATGGGATGGAATGAGAAATTGCCTCCACCAACTCGCTCACGGTATAATGAGGACCTTCTGCACACTTTTTAAAAATGGAAGCGTCAGAACTTTGACACACAAAGAAATTCCTCATATTACAGATTCGTTTAACGCCAAACATTTTAAATCCTTGAACCAATTTGGAAATGATTTTCATATTTTCAGAGCTCAGGGTTGGTTCTCTTCTCTTCCCCACATTTCCTTCATATAAAAATATTCTATCCTTTGTGGGGGGTTCTTAAATAAAGTAAAAAAGCTATAGAAATGTAAATGTCACAGATTTAAAAACTGTTGTACAAAAGGACGACCTCACTAAATTGATTTCAGGGTTATGTGGGATGTTCTTGGGCTGCTTAAACAATAGCAAATTGGAAGTAGACGGGGAAAAGGTTTAGGTAAGGGACTTCATCAAGGAAAATAGGGGCAGGTCAAGGTAATGGATTTTGACGCAGGTAAGCCACCTGGTTATTTTTTAAAAATATCTAGTTCCTATTTAACTATTTCTGTCCCAAACCTTTTGCATAAATTTTGTACTCCAGTGGTGGCTGGCAGAGTAGCAATAAGCTCACGGGAGTCCATGTGTTTGGTAACCTGAAGGCTGGATTACTGCAGTGCACTCTATGTGGGGCAGCCCTTGGGCCTGTTCCAAAAGGCCCTGCCTGTGCAGAATGCAGCAGCCAGGCTGCTGATGGGAGTATCTGGCTGGCAGCACGTAACATTGTTGTTAAAACATCTACACTGGCTTCTCAACTACTACTGAGCTGGGTTCAACGCATGCATTAGGGCAAATTCATATGTAGTTTAAAGTAACATACAAAATGCATCATACGCGGGAAAACTGCTTTGTGAAAATATTACAGGTAGGTAACTGTGTTGGTCTGCCGTAGTCAAAACAAAATAAAAAAATTCCTTCCAGTAGCACCTTAGAGACCAACTAAGTTAGTTCTTGGTATGAGCTTTCGTGTGCATGCACACTTCTTCAGATACACTGAAACAGAAGTCACCAGACCCTTATATATAGTGAGAGGGTGGGGAGGGGTATTACTCAGAAGGGTGGTGGGAATGGGTGATTGGCTGATAGGTGTGGTAAACCTGTTGATGACTGTTAATGTCTGCAATTGGTCTTACAGGAAAAAGCAAGGGGTGAGATGGCTAAAAATAGCTTTATATATGTATAATGAGATAAGAATCCAATGTCTCTATACAGACCAGGTCTCTCCATGGTTTTAAGTTTGGAAATAAGTTGCAATTCAGCAACTTCTCTTTTCAGTCTATTTCTGAATTTTTTTTTGTAATAAGACAGCTACTTTGAGATCTTGTATAGAAAGTCCTGGGAGATTGAAGTGTTCTCCTACTGGTTTCTCTGTCTTGTGATTCCTGATGTCAGATTTATGTTCATTTATCCTTTGGCGTAGGGTTTGTCCTGTTTGTCCAATATAGAGAGCTGAAGGGCACTGCTGGCATTTGATGGCATATACAATGTTAGAAGATGAGCAATTAAATAGTCCTGAGATGGTATGTTTGATGTTGTTGGGGCCAGTGATGGTGTTGTCCGGGTGTATGTGGCAGCAAAGTTGGCATCTGGGTTTATTGCAGGCTCTGGTACCAGTGTCCGTGTTAAGTCTGGTTGTTGTATTATTGTGGGTGAGGAGTTGTTTAAGATTGGGTGGCTGTCTGTAGGCAACGAAAGGTCTTCCTCTCAGAGCTTGAGAAAGAGAACTGTCATTGTCTAGGAGAGGCTGTAGATCTCTGATGATGCGTTGAACTGTTTTAACTTGGGAGCTGTATGTGATTACTATTGGTGTTCTGTTATTTTCTTTTTGGGGGTCTGTCTTGCAGCAGGTTCTCTCTGGGTATCAGTCTGGCTCTGTTGATGTGTTGATTAACTTCATTGGGCAGATATTTTAGTTCTAAAAGGGTTTGCTGTAGATCTCTTAGGTGAGAGTCTCTGTCTGTAGAGTTGGAACAGATGTGGCTGTAACGTAGGGCCTGGCTATATACAATGGATTGTTTGGTATGTTTGGGATGGTAGCTAGAAGCATGTAGATATGTTTGTCAGTCAGTTGGTTTACGGTATAAGGTGGTGTCTATACGCCCATCCATATAGTAGTGTCCAAAAAATGTATTTCTTGCATAGATTGGTTCATTGTTAGGCTGATGGTGGGCTGAAAGTCATTGAATGTCTGGTGGAAGGTGTCCAGGGTCTGTTGACCATCTGTCCAGATAATGAAAATATCATCAATGTATCGCAGGTACAAGAGAGGTTTGAGTGGGTTGGAGTTTAGGAAACGTTGTTCTAAATCTGCCATGAAGATGCTGGCATACTGTGGGGCCATGCGGGTGCCCATTGTTGTGCTGCTGATCTGGAGGAACAGATCATCACCAAATTTGAAGTGGTTGTGGGGAAGGACAAAATGGCAGTTTGGTAACAAAGTCCGCTGTGATTTTATCTGAAAATGTGTATATTAGGCAACACTACATGCAAAAATGTGCACATTAGCAGAAGCTGTTGCTAAAATGCTGATACATTTTCAGGAGGGCTTTTTCCTTTTTTATTATCACAAACTTGTGGAAATGCAGAGGTCTGAACTTACTGTAAGTCTGGAAAAACAGAGAGGGAGGGAGGGAGAGAGAGAAACCTAAACTGACAGATTCACTCATCCCTAACAATGATGGCTGCTTTCTTAAGACGACTTAAGAAAAAAAAGAAAAAAGTTAAATGCTGGTGATTGAACCTGCAGACTCTCCCAGCCCTGTCTGAAGATACAGTGCTACCTCTGGTTATGTACTTAATTCGTTCCAGAGGTCCATTCTTAACCTGAAACTGTTCTTAACCTGAAGCACCACTTTAGCTAATGGGGCCTCCCGCTGTTGCTGCACAATTTCTGTTCTCATCCTGAAGCAAAGTTCTTAACCCGAAGTACTATTTCTGGATTAGAGGAGTCTGTAACCTGAAGCATATGTAACCTGAAGCGTATGTAACCCGAGGTACCAGTGTACAGGGAATTTAACCAGGGATCTTCCACATGTAAAATAGATGCTCTACCATTGAGCTATTTCCCCAGCTACAATGTTTGAGCCCTCTGTTTGCGGAATTTCTCTGCTGGTCCCTAACACCAATGAATAAGGAACAAAACTATGAAAAATAGTTCTGAACTGAGAGAAATGTGGGTGTTCTTTTTATTTAATTGATGCTGCACAGAGTCTCTTCCGAGACAAGCCTATTTGGTTCAACACAAGTTGCTGTTGTAGCTTGTATTTTGGGTGTGTTGAGAAGGCCAGCTGTTTTAAAATATAAATGGGAAATAAATAAATCACAGAGTGTAAAAATAGCCTTACTAATGAGTTAATCTGCATGTTTAAACACCAATAGGCAAAGTTACAAACTGGAGCATTCCTGCCCCCCTCTGGATTGTCCATTGCCAAAACGGTACTTATTGAATTCGACAAACATTCTTGTTCTCTCCATTATATCAATGTATTTTTAAGTGTGATGGTTAAATCAGTTGGACAGTGTTGCTCTTCAGTCTCAATGTTTCCTTTGCTTTGTCTGCATTAATAATTGCTATGCATTTAATAAATAAAAGGACAGAAGAAATAATACCAATTCTGAATACTGGCACTTAGCTTGCAATGAACCTCATTAAAGTCAGTGATCCATGCTTTGTTTTTTAAGTAAGTGCATGTAATCCCTTCCTTCTCATTCTGGGGATTTAGTCCCCCCCCCCATTTGGTGAGCACAATCCTATCTTGATGTCTCTTATTAGGAATTGATCTTACTGCCTGGTACTGACCAGGTAAAGTGAGCAATGGCTAGTGGGAATTTGTGGGAAAGGTCCATGTATGACTCAGGGGTAGAAAATCTACTTTGCACACAGAAGATCCCAAGTTCAGTCCCCAGCATCTCCAAGTTGAACCCTCTGCCTGAAACTCTGGAGAGCCACTGCCAGTCAGTGTAGGTGATATTGAGCTAGATAAACCAGTAGCCTGACTTGGCAGAAGGTAGTGTCCTATGACTTTAGCCAATGAGCCACCACAAGAAGACTTTCTTGGTTGGAGTGGCTGTACTCCCTGCAATTCCAGCTTCTACCCAGAAAGTGGTGCTCAGCCTAACTTCTCAGAGCAGAGCAGATGAGACAACACTGATGCCCTAGGAAAGGTTCTAGTTCAGGCTTCTTGGTGGTCGAAGCACAGCTTCCTGTTTCATCTAAGCCTTCCCTTGTAACATTTATTACACTCTGCTTCTGCAAATCTTGAAGAAGCGTTCAACAAAGCAAAGCAATAAAGATGCCTCTGAAGCTATTTCAAAAGAAAAACCACTAAGTGCAATAGAATCATCACAGGACCACAACACCAACTAAACAGGAGGTAAAAGGAGGTTTTATATATTCTCCTCACATAGGAAGTTTCTTTATATCAAGTCAGGACATTGGTTCATCTTGTTCACCATTATTTACAAAGACTGGCAGTGGCTCATCAGGATCCCAGGAAGCAGGCATCCCCAAGTCATACGAGGAGAAGCCAGAGATTGACCCAGTGAAATGCCTTGGCTGTGGCTCAGTGGTAGAGCATTTGTTTTGCATGCAGATGCAATCCTGGGCATCTTAAAGAGGGGCCAGAGGAGAACCCGTCTGAAACTTTTGGAGAGCTGCTATCAGTCAGTGTAGACAGTCTAGACTCTAGACAATGCTGATTTGAATGGACCATTGGCTGACTTGCTATGAACTTAATACGTCCCCAAATTCTGCAGACTTCTTCTGTGACCTCATCATGCCACGGACTCAAAGCAATTGTGCTGAAGGCTTGACTTACCATAAATACTCTAATCCTTGAGCATTGAAGGCATTGAAGCTTTGAAAGTGTTAGGAGCAAATGCATGCAAAAATCTTAAGAACATGTGAAA